GGGCGGCCGGGGACGGTGAGCGCAGGGGCTGCTGCATTGCGGAGCCCGCGCGGCGGCTCGCGGCGTGCGGGGACGGGGCCTCCCCGGCGCGAGGGGCGCAGGCCGCCTGAACGGAGCGAGCGGAGCCTGTTCGCAGGAGGGAGGAATGCCAAAATTACCATTGCTGCGCTATCTATTCCCCTGTGTTGTCTCCCCACACACACCCTTGCAAATTTAATATTCACCAGAGGACCTAAGGGCTTGCCCAAGCAGCAATCTGGTGTTGTTTGGTACTCCTAAAACCTGATAGGAATTTCTGGATGACTGTGCAGCACCTGCCGCTTAAAATAGCTCCCCCCACCCCGCCCCCTCATACTTCTTCTGTTGCTGCTCTTGATTTGGTTTCAGAACAGTTTTTTTTATGTCATAATCAGTCATTGCTGCTTTTGTCTTTCTTGCTTTCTGTTTTGAATCGTTTAACTTAAATTTGCCAGGTTTACATAAGCTGTTGTTATGGAAAAAGATTATCCATGTTTGGGTGGTCATGAAATATGACTATAGCTCTCTTTCAAATAGCGTATAAATATATTTAAAAGGGCATACATTAGCTTTTCATGGTATTAAAAAGCCAGGAAGGCAAATATATTTGATATTATACTAAAAGCAAGTCTGTTTTGCCTTGACAAAGAAAGCACTTTGTTTTTGTGATACAGCTTATGCTTAATTCCACCTCCCCCAACTTACTCAGTAATTTCTTTCGCCTCTTTTTGCTCTGATTTTTCTGCTGTGTAGGTGAATCAGAAAATACCCCACCCCCTGTTGTAGGTTTAGCTGCCAACACCCTTCCTGCAGACCCTGTGACCTCTGCTGCTCCTGCCGATTCCTTCAACGGTATTTGAGAGCATCACAGCACCATCGTGTCTTGTTTATAACCGTTCTAATCACTGTGATCCATCCACTGATCTGGTCCTTCCTAACCACTCTTTTCTTATTATTTCAGTCTGGTACTCTGCAGCATCACTGTTAGAGATGTGAACCAAATGTCTGCTTAATTTCCTTTTAATTTTGCCATGGTGGAGCAGTGCATGCCTCACATTCCAACACAGTAGAGGCATTTCATGATTTTCTCACTAACTGTAGACTTTTATAACTCAGATTCTCACTTCTATTATTTCTGTGGATGTGTGTGTTTGTATGTGCATATGAATATATATTATATATATATAATAGTTTTATTGTACATGCCCAGGTGCAGGCGATGTTTAAAAAATAATCAGTTGCACAGTAACAGAAAACGGAGAGCTTCTTTCATCAGATCAGTCCTATTTTCCCATCTTGAGGGCCTTTTACTGCAAAATCTTAAGAAAGGGCAAATTTCTTATGTAGATCTAAAATTTCAGCATCCTAGGGTAGTTTTTGACCATTTTGGTGTTTGTAGCCAACTCAGATAATTGGCTTTGTGTTTAGGCAACCATATTAGTTTCTTGTCATTCTTTTGTATTTTTCAGTTATCTTTTTCTTTTATTTCATGACGTAGACAAGGGCTCCAAGTTTAAGACTGGATTGTGTATATGATTTCTAATTTTGGTTGCAAATGTGCATGGCTCTGAAAACGAAGCACAGCCTGTGCTTTTAGCAAATAGGCTCCTCTCCTCCCCGAAAAGGAGGACGCTAAAACACTTCTCCTCCCTGAGAAGCAGGCGCCAGGCTTGGATACTGCTCCCGCAGAGCTCGCAGTGTCTGTTGTGCTGCACGTGCTCTCCCAGAACTGTTATTCCCGGCAAACGGAATAAAATTTTTGTCCTGGTTGTTGCTTTTTCCCAAAGAGGAGATTTGGATGTGCAGCGGATGTTTTGCAGCACATCAGCACTGCACCTGCTTTACGAAAGAGGCAGCGTAGAGAAGGGCACCGTTTGCTGTGGGAGATGAAGTCAGGTCTCGCAGATGGCGCTGGGGCAGGGTTCTCCTGATACTGTGCAGGTACCACAGTGCTGCAGAATTAGGGCCACGCGTCTGTCTAGCTGAAGGTGTTTTGGGTTGTGGAAGAAGCAGATTTCAAACCTGGAAGACAAAGCCTCTGTGCTTTTGCCTCCTGCGTGTCGTGGGGCAATTGCTGTGTAGCAACGTACTGTATAATGTACTGTACATGTGGTGTTTCAGAAGAAATTACAGCGCAAAAATGAAAGTGCTTGCAGTAATAACAAAATCTTATTTAAAAAACCAAGAAAAAAGACAGAGCCAAATGGCTGGTATCAAAACAGTCCCCGTAAGGGTGATTTCTCGTCATGCGGATACGTGAGTGCCGTGTCATTTCGGTGTCAGAGACCCACCCCAGCGCTGGGGCCTGCAAGCAGGGGGAGGTGGGGAGCACGGAGTCGGCACGTATGCAATCCATCATTCCCTTTAGGGAGCTCCCTGCTCGTGTGGTATATCTTCTGCCGTTCACATCCAATATGCACTTACTTGCCCTGGCGCTGCAGGGCACGGGCTCTTGCAACACGAGGTGTTAAATCGCGAGCAGCCAGGTCGTAGAGCAAAGCGTAGCTTAGGAGCTGCTGGTCCCCAGCAGTCGGAGCAAGCTCATCTCCCCGTGTCTTACCCGGTGCTCTCGTCAGTGCCAAGGGCCAGCAGTAGCAAATGCAAGGTTGATTTGGGGAGTTTGTCCAACACTGTGACCTGAATACAAATATCTCCAATGCGTCTCTCTGCAGCGTGTGACAAACTTTCAGCTTCTACAATGAATCTGCCAAAGCAAACGGAGTCGCCAATCAGTAAGCGCCTCTCCTCCTCCACCGCGGCAATCACACATTCCCCTGACAGAGGCAAGTGACCCGGCTGCTCCTTCAGCAGCACAAACTCTCCTTCTGTGTTTAAAGCACTTCTTCCTTCCCTGTGTCTGTGTATCTCTCCTCTATCAATTATTCAAGAGCAGAATTCCAACATTTGCAGGGTTGCGAGTTAACTGTTAATGTGGAATACAGTGAGAGAGTTTTGCAGCCTACCTGAGACCGTGGTGACCTGAGGCCAGGGACAAGCGCTGTGCTTTTTTTACTGCTTATTTTTCACCTTGTGATAGTTCAGCAAACAGGGTTGTAAATAGGTGCAGCAGCAGTTGCCCAAGTCTGTGTGGCCATAGCCAAGCAATAAACACCAGAAGGGGAACCAGCCCCCTGGCACAACAGCGGGCATGGGGCGCCGCGTTGGCAGAGCCGTGTCCCGGGAGCCACCTGGGGGATTTTAATCTGGTGACCAGGGTTCCAGGGCCCTTTAATTTGATTTGAAAACCTGATCCGTGAGAGGCTCAGCAAAAGATGATCAGGATTAGTGGTTGCTAAACACTACAGGAAGGACTGAAAGAATAACGTCACTGCCAACCCTTTGCATTTCTTTGTTTTTGTTTTTTTTTTCTGGATGTCTTGTTTCCTTCTTTCTTTCTTTCTTCTTTTTTTGCCTCCCTTTTTAACTCTAGTGAGAAAAATAGAAAAAATGTATTGACTGGACTAAGTGTCAGCAAAGGTGTATTTTTAGAATGAAAGGGGAAGGTAAATTTCCTTTCATTTTTTTGTTGCTTAGTAAAAGCACATCCTTAGCTTTGAGGTTATTGTGATAGATTCCTTCATATGTGCATGTGATGGAAACATTTATAAATGTTTCTTGTGCAGTTGATGCTTATATTTATGGAGTGGGAAGGCATATTCTATAAATAAGGATTATATAACAGGGGTGAGACTGCAGATTTTCCGTGCGTTCCAGGGTGACTGGCACGTAGTGAGGAGCTGCACTGTTACACCAGTGTTTCACCTTTCCTACCGGGGAACAAGGCAAATGCTTTCCCTGCTGAGTCACGGGAGCAACCATTTTGCCTCCGTGTAAGAATAAAATGCAGCAAAATCTTAACCTTGCTGTATTTATTGCACAGATTCAAAGATGATTAAGGTGGTTTTAAAGAATGGAGAAACCAGAAAGCTCTTTTTAAAAAATTATTTTTAAATATTCTAAATCTCGATTATTTCAAGATTTTTTCTTTTCATTTCATTTAATCATTTCATTGTTTTGTTATTTTAAAGCATCATTTTGATATCTGTTCTTGCATTTTAAAGTTTATTTTATTTGCTCCCATCCTTCAGCTCACCGCATGCATCTTAGTCCAATGGAAAACTTTATTGTTTCTCGACTGCTGACTCCCACACAGTCCTCTTTAGCCAGAAGCAGAAGCACATTAATGCTTTCTGAGCAATACAATAACCCAGGTAAAAATGTCAGTTATTCACTTCGAAACCATTAAGGTGTGTTTTTGGCTGCATTTAAGGAGTTGCTTAAAGAAGTTTAATGTTATGAGCCAAATGAGAGTTTATACAATCATATAAAAGCAAACAAACAAAACCTATTAAAGCAGCTACTCTTGATAAGTGTTGATAAGTTTGAAAAAAATATATCATTTAGTCTTTCTTGTTCTGAATGGTTTTTTTAAAAGTAATATAAAAAGAAAGCCTAAGCCAATGGAAAACTGAATACATTCATTTATTCAGGATTGTTGTCATACAGTATCTTGCACGTAAGAAATTTCCCAGTTTATTTACTGTTCAGGGAGCGACTATTAGTAAGAGTGGCCGAAAACTATCTCGGGATTAGCTCAGTATTCTCTGCCGAAAGCATTAGGGTGCGTTGGCAGGGCTGCCCATGGACGTTGCCTTCGTTGGCAGGGCTGCCCATGGACGCTGCCTTCGTGATCGAAGTAGCGGACAGGGGCTCCCGGCCTTTCCCGCGCGCTCGCCCGCGAGCTCCTGGCGGCAGCCCTGGGCCCAGGCAGGCTCTTGGAA